CTATACTTTTTGGGACAGAATTATATGGATACAACCAAGGAGAATGTTACCTATGAGATGAATTATCTAGGTAAGCATCCCAAGAAATTTTTTGTAAAGCTGCAGTTTGTTTCCTAATTTAAAAGATGTAGGAGAAGATTCTGAACTCGCTTCTCTGCCCAACCAAAAGTGTGATCTACATTCCAGGAAGTAGGAAGCTATATAGAGCTGATTTGTCACAAATAATGAAAAAATAGATTTTACAGTTTAGTGTRTGTTAATTTTATTTGCTGTTATCACAATGCTAGAGTATGTTCCAGTGAATCCACACTGAATTTTGTGCTATTACTCAGCACAAGAAAGAAAGTATTTTACATGGAAATTCAGTGTGTGGAGGTATAAAGGAAGTGGTGACTAAAAATTTATTGAAACTCACAGAATGATAATCTTGCAATCAGGTATTTTCCCATTAAATGTATAGTAAATCAAGTGGTCCAGCTGGTTTTGTTGAAGTTTTTGGTAGAGTGGACTCAAAAAGATTGTTAGTCTGGATGGTTGAGGACATTGCAACGTATTTGTTCCACGAGATGCATGCAAAAGACAGACACTCAAATTAAATAAGGGCTCATACATCTAGTTCTGTCTGCAAAGGTGAAGGAAAGCTGTTGGCAATCTAGTTTTCATTATTCAGGTACTAAATTTCATGCTAAAATACTAAATATTTCCTAAAACCTTTAAAGTCATTAGCAGTTGCTACCTGAATGTTRATCATGCCTAATGTAGCTACAAGTACCACACAGGGATAGAGCAGATTCAACAAAGTACAGGTGCAGAATTTCTCAAACTTCCTTCGGAGGGAGTGCTCAGCCTCCCTCCCTCTCAGCTGGTATGGACAGTAACAGCTTGGCAAATGTGCATCAGTCTGGAGGGCTGAAAGGCAAGAAAAATATACAGGTTAGTAGATGAGTCATCTCTGGAGTTTTGTAATATGGTCTTTTATGAGAATGTGTTGCTTCTGTAATAGATCTGTAACTGGAAATCATGCTACTTTTACACATGATTACATTTCTTGAGTTGCCTGCCCTCCTGTTAGGCTGGTCACTGCTTAGTTAAACTGTCAAACTGCTGCCCCTCCAGCCCTGCAGCCCAGGTGTTCATGTCTCAGTCCAAGTCTGTCTTTATGTTTTAGTACTGGAGACTGGGCTCAAAACCAAATTGAGTTTTGGTACAGGTGGTGACAAACCTTAAACCCCCACAGCCTCTTAGCTGAATCTCTGTCACTTGCAGCTCTTTTGCAGTCACTGTAACTGTCTTCAAATCTCCTTGGAGCAGAATATTTCAAGTAGGTCTGGACATACATTTATTGAACTGTCTACCAGAATGATGTTAAATTTCACTTTTCTGATCTTGTCAGAGACTAAAATTACTAACTTTTGCAGAATCTATATTTCAATTATTTGCAGAATCTCATGATTTATGAATTTGMTTCCATCACAACTGGCTGAAAATACATACACCTCAAAATGCAGACGAGTCTTATATGTTCTGCATTAAACACATGCTTGTTGGTTCAAACCATATTGYAGTCATTAAATATAGATTTGCAAATACACACAAGTTTGTGTTTTCTTTTGCTTACTTTATGTTCTCTTTATGGGTAATGCATGAGAGAGATACCAAAAGCAGCTTATTTCTTTCTACCTAAAATTAGCATTGTTAGATCTAGTCAAGAGTGGCTATTATTTAAATATTTAGTTTTTCACAGGTTTTGTTGCTGTTTGTTATTCAGTGCTTTAATAAGCTTCTTTTTGTTACATATATGGAAATAGTTTGGAGTTAATCAGGATAATAAAATATTTTCAATTTATATCTTTCTGATATCTTGGTTCACTATTAATGCCCTTTGTGATGTAGCTTTCTGGGAAAGCTCTGGCAAACCTCCAAATCTGTTCACAAATGTGGCAGCATCCATCRTTAGAGAAAATTTGGATAAATAAATACATTATTATTTTGTAGTAAATAGTAAAAGAAAGGCATTTTGTAGTAAATACTTGGAAATCTTTTCAGGGAAAGCTGGAAGCTTTCACATCTAGTTGTGTATAAGCAGTCCTGTCAGGATTCAGGCATGGCACATTGTTGGCCTGCTGAGGATCAGCCAACCAGATTAAGTATCACCAAATGTGTGTGTTTATCTGAGGGGTCTCAGTTGCCTCTGTCAAGTTCAACCATCGAAACAACTTTTGGTACCACATCCAGATTTTGAATGGTGTAAGAAAGTATGTTGCACTGTGTGTGGACTAGTGCCAAACATGAGAATAAAGAGGTTCAGACTTGCTGCACTCATGGGAGGGTTTAACTGCATGGCACAGCTATGAGATCTCGTGCTCAAATGAGCCACCAAGAGAATGGAGCTTCTGAAAGAGTATGACAGGGATAAAAAGCTGCTTTTTATATTGCATGRGTACCTGGCACCCCCAGAGTAAGCTGTAGAGGCAAACAATGCACTTTGTTCCAAGGAACTGCCCGACTGACAGAGCAAATAAGGAAAAAAAATTAATTGRCTATAAAGAAATGAGCTGTGATCTTGCCTAACAAAAGTTGACTTGTATTGTATAGTGGCATTATATATGCCCACAATACAAAAGTGGATTGTCACAAAGTTTTGCAGAAGTTTTTGGGGCAGTGTGGTCTGGATGAACATGAAAATTTGGGCTGGAGAGCAGGACAAGCAGCCAGTTAAGGCAGGATGGATATCAAGGAATGATAGCYATAGGAGGGGACAGATGAAGGCAAAGTCACAGGGGGCCTTTTAAAAACCACTGCAGACTTGTACTCAGCAGTGAAATGCAGAATGGGGGGGAAGGAGGTGGCTTGTGACACTGAGGGAAGGGAGGAGGGGATGTGCACACGGAGGTGATGCCACCAGTAGCCAGGTCGTACAGAAACCAAAGGTGGAAGTGATGTCTGGAAACTTTAATGAAGGGCAAAAAGGGAATAAAAATAAGTGTTTAGAACTGGTGGTTTGGTTTTTGTGAGGAAAATTTTGTTTAATCTCTGTCTTTGGAAAATTTGGAATTTGGAAATTCTGCTTTATAAAAGTAGAATTGAGTTCTTGCCACAGCAGTTATAGTTAGAAACCTGCTTTTGGCCATCTCACAACATCAGGTCTAGCAGTAAATGTCCGGAGRTGAGAGCAATATAGGCTGTGCCCTGGAAACTCCGAGGACATTTGGCTCAAGAGACATTTAAACTATCCAAAGTAAGGGTTAAACCCTGATGAGCTGCCCCGTGAGGCCTTCCTTACAAGGTCTGAGCTGTGGCTGGGCTTCAAACATGGAAAATATTCTTGGTTAGGGATTCGGAGCCCGGACAGGAGCGCGCCGGGCTTGGRGCGCCACCCAGCGGCGCAGCGGGGCAGCGCCACAGCCCGCCCGGGCTCGGCAAAGGCGGTTCAATCAGTAATGGTTATTGGGGTTTCTGGTGTTCCTTTGTCCACCGTTGGGCGTGGAGACAAAACTGCTAATTTCTGCAAAATTGTGCTGATTCTTTATTGTTTCCAGCAATTCCAAAGAGCTCTTTGCTGGTTTAGTTAAGCACTGGGATGTGTGGATAGTGTGACATTACTCAGAGAACATTCTGTGGCCTAGAGCAGAGAAAAGGGGAGATAGAAGAAAGAGAAGATAGAATTAAATATTCGTGTTGAGCATGTGGAAGCAAAGGAGTCTGGATTTTACAAAAGGGCTAAGAATGGTAGGTGCTATTTTCTTTTTCAGTTTGTTCTAAAGTGTGAAATAGRCAGTTCTTAAAAAAAGTCCAACCACAGACCCATGTCTTTATGCATAAGTCATAAACCATAAGCAGTACTTATTCCAGTTAGCTGCCTCACTGTTAAACTCTTAAGAGTTTACTGGTAATTTTCACTTTAAACTTTCTTAACAGGGTGCAAAAATAAATTACTYTCTGAAGTTGGTAACCCACGAAGTGGATCAAAAGATGTGTGACTGAATAYTTCTAAAAATGTGAGTGGACGGAGGAAGGCAAATAAAGGTGTCTACACTCACCAAAGGAAAAAGAATGCCTTCCTGTGCCCTCTGCTCTTCCCCTTTTGGATGTGGTTTTTTGAGGGAGAAAAGGGAAGAAATCCCTTTGCAGAATTCAAAGCTGTGGAATGTGCACAGTTCTAGCAGCAGTGAGGAATAATGTTTTTGTTTCCATCTCCTTTCCTCTGGTCACTCATTCTGGGTTGTTAGTTGGTTGGACTTTTTCATATTCTCCCCACACCCCCCAAAAAGCAAAAAAACAACAACGAAAAAACACCAAAMCAAAACAAAACCACCAAGCAAACATCAGCAAGTAGTCTGGAGTACTGATTTGACCTAAAACCTCAGGAACTTAGTGGAAAGGATTTTGTTCTGGGAGTAGATCTGGCTGGTGCAAAGCAGGTGGATGATAGCAGGGAGCCAAGAAAGGTCACATGCCAGGACAAGGCTACACAGCCCTGTTTCAAAGGCCAGCGATTGTGTGTGGTGAGAACCTGAGTTGCAGAAAAAGCAAATGACTTGTCCAGAGTTGCACAAGAAGTCTGTGGTAAAGGAGGGCTCAAGGGAAAAAATAGGTACTGATCTAGCAAATCAGCTTCTCTTGATTTCTTTACCTTTCTTCTGTAGAAAGTTTTTTTTAGCTCTAGCAACTCACTGAGAATTTAACAAAGATTATCATTACTTTTGCATTTGTAGTTTTCATGAGAACACTGCAGAGTTCTGCCCTTTTATTTCTTGAGTGCACAACGGATTGCTTTGCTTTTGTTTGCGTTTACTTTTCCTTGTCTTCAAGGCCACAGTCTTCAGCAGTTTTGCAAAAACACAGCCCTGCAGCTTCTTTCTTAGTTAGTTTTTCTGGCTGCAACGAACATTTCATTTCAGTTCTTAGTGGCTGTGCTTCAGTGCCGGAAATGACCGTAGTGATTGAAGTTCCTCCTAGCCCCAACATCAATTTTGTGTGAGGAAACGCTTCATCATCCCTGCTGAGTGTCTGCACTGGGAACATGCAACCCTGCTGTGAACATGAAGACACAGGCTTGCTGCTCCAGGCAGTGCCTGAGGAACAGAATTATGGAGCTGCTGCAGCAGATGGGACACAGTGTTCATCAGAGTCTGTGTCCAGAAACAGTCCAGCAAAGAGGGATTGGCTAGTAGTTGCTGTACTGTGCTTTGGGAATTTAATAAATTTCATGGATTGGTTCATTGTGCCAGGTGAGASCCTATTTTCCTCTTCTAAAGAAAAACAAATTTAAGCTCTTAACRGCTTTGCTTGCTCTACAAATGTTTCTAAAGTAAGGATATACTTTTGTCTTTTCACTTTTTCTTATTTATCTCTTTTAGGCTGTTTATATTCTTAATGAAACTTCCAATTACAAATCTGGAAAGACCTAGGAATGATTTATTAGATATTAATATTTAGTAAAATGCTTACAAATATACAGTATTTTAAACAGAGAGAGAGAACAGAATTCATACACAGAAGTTTCTTTTTAGTGAAAAACTTCTATGTATGACTTCTGTTGTCAAGTAACTTTCCTTGGAGAAGGGCAGGGGACAGAAGAGGATTAAAATATCTGAAAGGAAGAACTTGGATACTAGAAGGGTGTCCCCTTGRAAGGGTTAAGTGCAAGAAGCCATTTGGCTCATTCCAGGCTTTGAACTATTCGTGGGCTGCTGTACCTGCTAAGTGCTTAAAATTTTCCCAACATGCTCTTGTGAGTGGGGTACCTTCAGGGACATGTAAGAATTCAAGAGCAGTGGTGGGGGTAGTGCCAGGCCTTTGAAACATCTCCTTTAATTAAATGACTGAACCACTTTTTACTTAATTCCATGACTCCTGGGCCATGGGGGAAGTCTGTAAGCTGCAGTTTTTATACCACAGCAATGTCCTGCTAGAATTCAGTGCCACTGCAGAATTCTTGCAACAATGCTTTTGAGTTTGGCTGTCGAACTGTATGATCATGTTGTTAGATACCAGCCAACAGGAAAGAGAAGAAGGGGAGGTATGAGTGTCTGTTTAAAAGTAAACTGACAGGAGTTACAAAGTTGTGGTTTCYGGGTAGTTCTGCTCCCAGGCTTTGACAGAGTTTGCGTCACGGAAAACAAGCTCTTCCCCTTAATTGCCTGCTAACTTCAGTTTGTTAAAACTAGTGATCATGCAGATCTTTTACCTCTGATCTGTCACCAAGCTGTTCAAATCAATGCTTTGTAATTTGCTAGCAACTGAGAGGTCTAGTTATCTTAGTTATGTGGAGGGGTTGGCATTTTCTTGGCGCTCAATGTGAATGTTAGTTTGAGATGAAGTTGTCGTTCTGTTCAAGTCTTGTTCGCTGTGATTTGTTCTAAAAACTCCATCAGTCCAAACCTCTGTAATACAGTATTTCTGTGTGTTGATCACTGGCAGCTAGAAAGGAAAGATACAATTGATTGTCCTGTTTAAATGATGCCAAATATTTGAATWAAATCACTTGTTTAAACTTTTGAAACCATCAGGAAACCTTTAAATGTAAAATATGTTCGAGAGTTATTGAAAAACAGCTAGAAATCTCTGGAGCTGCTGTTAGGCTGGACCTTGATCTACAATGACTTGAAGTGACATCAGTAGGGAGTGGACTGCTGCTGCAGCCCTGGGGACTGTGGGAGAACATGGATTTAGCTTTAAATTAACTGGTCCCATAAGGAATATAAGTGGCTGGAGCAGTGTAGTTCATGGCACATGTAAAACACTGTGGGAGAAGTGGTGCCTCTTGCTGATCTCACCCCACTGCCTTCTACTGCAGATGAGCTCCTGTGAGCACAGCAGGCRAATTATACAGAGCTTGTTCTCTTAAGTGGTGGTGGTTTCATCCTCTTAACAATGTTATGATTTTATCTATTTTGRCAAAACTGAAGTGGCATGAGAAGAAATACCTATTTTTGATTGATATCTTTCAACACTGGAGTACAGGTATGCTTTTTTCAAAGCAGTATCTTCTATTTTTAATTGTTTTTCAGCAATGTAAATCAGAAAGACAAGATAGGTGAGATGGAAGATCTGCAGCCTTGGTATAGTGTAGAGATGAAAATTATCTTTTTGTCTTAAYGTCCATGAGGTGTCAAAGGTTGCCWCTGTTTTGTTCTGCATTGTGTCCATTAAACTTTGACCTCTAAATTGTTCATATACTTAGGTGCTAATGATGCAAAAGAAACAGCACAACACGTGGTTGAAACAGTGGGGAAACTGGCTGTCATAAGACCGTTATATTGGAAGATGCAATAAGAATTTTTAATTCTCTGTGCGTCTTGTGCTTGTGGTAGAGTAATGGCYTACATCCAAACCAGAAACTAAACGTGCTGCAGTTCTTGCAAGCCCTGTTTTTTGAGTTGGCAGTTGCAAGGAATTAGCAGGGTAGTTTGCTATCATTCAGTGTCTGCCTCTGTTGCAGGGATCCTGTTGGATATACAGAAATATTTTGGGCTTAGCGATGGGAAGACAGGTCTSCTGCAAACAGGTAATACAATCTCCTCAATTCAGACACAGTTGACTTTGCCTTGCCCCTCTGTGGTCTGCTCCTAAAATAAGTCCAGTTACTTACCTCTTCTAGTTCCTTCTCGTATGTGGTATTGCTCACTTCCACTTGTGGGCAGGCTGCCTTGCAAAACTGGTGCAAAACTGAAAGTCAGACTGGAACAGAGTCCTTCAAAAATCTCTCAGTATGTGAATCACAAAAGATGAAGTGTTTCTTAAGAAATACAGAACTTGAGTAATTCACACGCATATTATTTTTGTATAGGTGTTTTGATTCTGTATTTATCCTTTTCCAAATATCAATCCTCATCTTAGTCCTAAAAACTCAACCCCTGTCCTAAAAATAACTTGAGTTTATCTGAGGGGTGAGCAGTACATGTGATACAAATAATTTGATCRATGTTGTCTTTGCTTGTTGTTGGATTTCTAGTCTTCACCTTGTGTTACATGCTGGCTGCCCCCATCTTTGGATACCTTGGAGACCGCTACAACAGGAAAATCATCCTTGGAGCTGGGATTTTCTTCTGGTCTGGTGTAACCTTAGGAAGTTCATTCATCACTGAGTCGGTATGTTGCTTTTYTTAGAGGGTGCTACAAAAATAACCTGCATACATCTTGAAGAACTTGATATAGAGTCCTCTAATCACCTTTGGAAAAGCACCAATGACCACTCATTTCCCGAGCCTCAAGCCTGGACTAATGTATTTCATGCAGGAATGCCTTATGGAATGTTGGAGTCCAGCCTAGGCAATAGAGAACCCACACATTATTGTTGCAGTTGATGGGATTTTATCTTTGTCCTGAATGTTTATTGTTTATGACCTTACAGTGTGACARCTTGTTGGGCAAGTATGTGCTCTATCCACCCTATCCTGAGATTCCCTCTGGYTGTCACTCTGAGAAGTCACTGCTGTGTAGAAAGAGAAAGCCCAGCAGTGAGGTGTGAGTGAAAGGAATACAGACATCAAAAGGCAGTTTGATTCTGGTAGATTTGATCCACTAAAATGCCCCTCTTTAACAGTAAGATTTCTTTCTTTCTTGCATGGACCTTTTTTGACTACAATATGTCTTTTCTCCACAGTATTACAGGATATTTGTTCTTTCACGAGGACTGGTTGGCATTGGCTCTGCCAGTTACTCCACTATAGCACCTACCATCATTGCAGACCTGTTTGAGGAAGGAAAAAGGACCACAGTGTTATCTATCTTCTACATCTTCATTCCAGTGGGAAGGTTGGTTTTCTTGCTAGTGGCCTTTTGAAATTCTGTCTGACCACACCTGCAATTCAATATACCCTGAGCCCAAATCAGATTTATTTTGATATATATCTRTACTGCTCTTGCAAAGGGATTTGTCACTTCCTTAGCAAGTTTGAATGGAGCTGATTAGGTGTATTTCTCTGATTACCTTGAAAAAAATTCTCTTTTTTCTCCCCAACATATTTAGAGAGAATCTACACTCTGTAAAACTCTGGTTTTGAATAAAACATTGAATAAATTCTAAAAGAAATATGTGCATGARAGTATATCATTTATTTCTGTGTTTGGGAAGACAAACTAGATACTAGTTTATTTGACAAATCTTTCAAGAACCCTCTGTTAAATGTCTTCCAATGAAGAACTAGTACTTCCCTTTCCTCTTTTAGTTAAATTGACATTGTGTCTGAAGAAAAGGTGGGGAAGGGCTTTTCAAGTAGTTTAGAGGCATATTCTGTATAAGAGCAGGCAGCCAAAGCTGGGCCCAGAAGGCAGATTAAAAGTAAAGAAATTCCTGCAGGGCATAATTCCTGTGGCTAGCACAGAAAGGATTAGGTAATAAACTGTTTTATGGGCTGTTTGATCCRGGTTTGCCGTGTCATTCTATAGAATAGCTATTCCAGGGGGAATCTGGGACATTACTGTCATCATCTCAAGTCCGCTTGAAAGAGGTTCGACTCTGTTTTTAATACTGGCTGGCAAGTAGACTAACACAGAGCATGAGGGTTGTTTTTGTTTATCCCTTTGGAAAACTATGACAGAACCTTCTGTGTGCACTCCTTAGCTGGCAAGACATGTAATTTCAGCCATCCAGAATTTATTGGTGCTTACTGATCATTCCTTTCTGTTRCTTACAGTGGCTGTGGTTATATGCTGGCAGCTGGCATGGCAAAAAGCACAGGTGACTGGCATTGGGCATTCAGGGTGAGTCACTAACTTTCATTCACTGTAACATTATCACTGGGATTTGGATTCTTTATGTTCATGGAGCAGTGGAAGGACATTGTATACTCTTGACAGTTCAGGAACGTGGTGTTTAGAAGTTTTCCTGCATGACAAGTGGCAGATTTCTGCCTAGTTCTGGTAGGTGCAGGTGAAGTTGTATCACAGCCAGGGCAGATTCTGCTGTTCCTCTTACCTGAAGACACATTTGGAATGGTTGTCATTGCATCAAGACCTCCTCAAACAGAGGAATTTGAAGGTAAAATGATCATTATACTTGTAGCATCACTTTTCTGGAACACTGTTGGGAACAACTTCTATTATTTGAGGGTTTCAACAAAATAACCTCTTCTGGTCATGTCATCATGATGTCTGTTGCACCTAGAGCCTTGGAAACACTTTGCTGAGTCTCATACCTTTTATACAAAATCAATTGGCACGTGCATGTGAGTGGGGCAGAATATTCATTGGAGTAACACTGGTATTATTCAGGTAATRCTGGTGACTGCATCAGTGATTCTTGTGTTTGTGGCCAGAGTACTACAGCACAATTTTCTTTCTTCACACGCTTTTCTTTAAAATCAGAGGGAGGAGCAATCATGTATATTGTGATGGGGAGGGAGGATCTAGTATCTTTCCTCCAAAGTCACCAAAGTCACTCTTTTTCTTTACAAATATGACATAAACCAGCGCACATCTATTTCTGAATATATCTGCAATTTTCTGATCAGTTGTTCTAACACAATTTGAATTGCTGTTGAGTTCTCACTATAAAAACAGGTATCTTTCATCTAATCAACCTTGTGTCTACAGGTAACTCCTTGTATGGGAGGTCTGGCACTGCTTCTCCTGATTCTACTGGTCCCTCACAGGATCCAGAGGAAGACAGCTGCACACAGAGCTCTGAGCATCTCTGGCACAATACAAAGAGCCGATGAGAAGCCAGATGTACACAGAACTGCCAGAACTACTTGGTGTCAAGATGTGGGGTCACTTGCCAAGAAGTAAGTRGTTTGAGCTACAAAGGTTCCCTCTGTTGAGGAGTGACCATTCCATTATAAGAAATAAGTCCATTGAATCCTGCTCTGCTCCTTTGTGCCACATGCTGTAGGCAAGAGGATGGAAACAGCATTAGTAAAAATCTTTCTTCCACTTTTCCACAGGAATGCTACATAAGAGATCAAAAATTTCTTTGCTTCTTCTATCCTTCCATTTTGAGGAGGGGTAAGGGGGCAAAGTTACAATGGYAGTTTGATCCTATTTAAATCCAGGTCTACTTTCTACTAAATTTTCCCTTCCCTCTTGCTTTAGCCCGTARGTTAAGCTAGATAGGTAAAAGTGCATAATTTTCGGGTATAAATTTATTTGTAATTCTTAGTGCCTGACAAAGGTTGGAGCAGCATGTCTTAGTCAGTCTCTRTGGTGTTTGGGAGCTTGCTGTGCATGAGGTCAGTGTTTGTAGAGCCCCAACATGGTTTATAATGTAATTCTCCATGTGTTTTGATGAACTGAGCCGTGGCTGACACACGGCTTTTAACCACACAAAAATTAACGACACCACCAGCTGACCTGCAGGACGAAGTAAAATCCGGACCGGAGCAGGTTCCTCGCTCCTGTGACCCCACAGTCAGCCGGTGACAGGCCTTGCCGGGGCAGGACGAGAAGCTGGAGCCGCTTTGGGAACAGCAGGTGCCGCTGTGCAGCTGCGCCAGACCCGGCTCCGTGCTGCCGCTGCCCGCAGGCTGTGTTCCCGATCCAACGCTTTTCGTTTAAAGGCTGCTTTCCTGGGACCTTGTCTATCTTTGGAGTATTCTTCCAGAGGATCCAGCGTTTTTCTAACTGCCCACTAAATCTGCATCCTCTTTACATCCTGAAGAGCAAGTACACTAGACATCAGTTTAGTTGGATCACAATTTGTAGGCACTACATCCTGAAGTGAAAAAAAAAAATTCTTGAATCAAAAATGAACCCTTCTAACATTTCAATAACTAGACTATCTCCAAAGTTGCTTTCCTACAGAGATGTTCTATTGTTGTCAAAATACATTTTAATTGTCTTTTCCTTTAGCAATTGATTTCCATTTTCTTTTCCTTAGGCAATTATTTGCAAAGCATAAAGACATACTGCCAAAAAAAAACCATGTGGCTTCACTTTTAATCAAGTCCAAGAGCACTTTATTTTTAGAAGATGGTGAATTGGGGTAATTTCTTAACAAATCCTCTAGTCTGGTTGTCACTTGATCATTTGCGGCAGTCTTAAGATTTCATACATACCTATCGACCTCAAAGGGAGTTTTCTCCTGAACTATTAATGACAAAGAGTCCAGCAAAAATTTAATTTTCTCCTAGAATACAGCAGAAAGGAGACAAGCTTTCAAAAATGCTTCACCTTTTGTCTAAAAACTGCTATGGAGATTGAGAGTCTATTTTTACTCACTCAGGTGGAGTTCAGGAATGCTTCAGCTGCTGCAACTTCACAGTTTGGAAGACCCAGACATCACTCTCATTTATACTGGTTATAGAAACAACTTAAAACATGAGGCATTTAGACTTGCACATAGAACCCTTTCCTTTAGCTCCTAAGCCATTAAATTCTTGCTCACTCTCTATTGTTACACTTCTGCTATCAACAAAAATCAACAAAAATCACAGCAATTGTTTTGGCAGAAGATGGTGATAAAATCTGCAAGAGAGCAGGATTTAGCATTAAATCAATAGGTCATACCCTTTGCTCTAATTAGTACTTTATTGTTGGATTTCATAATAAAAGCTGATCAGAGTTCAGATATTCAAGAGAGTGGATTTTGGTTATAAGATGTCTGAATGAATTATTTTGTTATTGCATGAAATTCTGGGTGTTGCAGGTAGGTTTTCCCTTTTTGCTCACATACCATTCTTTCTAATATCTCTCATTTGTTTCCTTTTGTCTTTCAGCTGTAGTTTTGTCTGTTCCTCACTGGGTCTGACTGCCATGGCCTTTATCACTGGAGCCCTGGGAATGTGGGTGCCACTGTTTCTGTACAGGGCTCAGGTTGTCCAGGGCATTGTCCCACCATGTCTCCAAGAGTCATGCAATTCATCTAACAGGTGAGCTGTGACTGTGGGGGCACACTTGGAAACACTGCACAGTGCTCAATCACAGCTTGTTTCCAAAGGCAGAAGGGAGGATGTGACTGAGCACTTTTTGTGAAGGCAGTGGGATGTGAATGTTAAAYTAAATTGCTTCCAGGTATCTGAGACACTCTCCTTTGTTTGTTTGTTTATAATCACTCAGTTAACTGGAAAGATGCTGCCAGCCCTATTTAAGTAAAGTGGGAAGAAGCAATAACAGGAACACTTTATGGGGAAAAAGGAGCAGCTTTAGCAAGGAGATTTCAGTTGACAAATGACTGTGCATASCAAGCTAGTTAAATACCAATTTAAGTATATTTAAATCCTGTGTTTTAGTAACTTTCCTATTATCTTATTGTTAATCTGGYTTTATAATCCCTGCCATGTTGTCAAGTTCATTGTGGCTCTCAGTTTGAAGAAAGCTTGATGATTTTGATGTAGTATGGTATCATCATATCAAACCAGCATCTTGTGAATAGCTGCCAGCCGAGCTCTGCTTGCAGAGCATGTCCAGACTAATGAAGATTCAYGAATAATATGAAATATTGTATAAGAAGGAGAATTTACACTAGTAGAAGTAGTCATAACACAACTTTTTGTAGATCACTTTTCCCCACCTAGGAAGAGAAGTTTTTCTTCACAATGCATTGTCCAGAATACAAGTGTACATTCAATATTCCTCTTGAGTCTTCACAGCTCCCAGTGAGCACTGGGACTGACTTCCTACTGTACAAGTGTCCCTTTCTTCAGGAGGTATCCCAACGCTGGTTTCAGTATCTGCTTTTGTAATAAATTTCAAAGAACTAAGTGCTTACTACATGGCCTTTCCAGATGAAGACAATTAAAGGGAAAAGCACCCATCACACCTTAATGTGTTCTCTGCAATGGAATAATTGAGTCAACTCAGAAATGATTTCTGAGTTGTAGTGTAACCAGATGGATTGAAGAGTCATGCCAAAATCCTTCAATGGGAAATGAATTGTCCTTCCATGGATGCCACCATGGCACATTACTTATCAATGAACAGTACTGGGAAGGGAGTGAAACCCRGGAGTCTGACTCAGGATAGGCAGACAAGGGAAGCTGAACAGTTTAACTGTTTGGCTGTATCTGTTCACAGGTGCAGTTTAAATACTTCCTTCATTAAGCTGAAGGTGTTGGCCTCTAGTTTGTTTTCTAATCCACTTCTGAATTATTATTCTACAGTAGTGTTGTTAGAGCAGACATGGTCTTCAGGGAAGTGAAACAGAGCATCTGATAGTTTAACCTCATGTACTGCTTCTTTTAGGATGCTTTAAATATAACCTTGGCATAAGCTCATGCCAGAAGCAGCATAAGGCTGGGTTTGGACTCTTATTCCAAGGGGGTGTAAAAAAACAGAATATAAACTACTGTGTCAGACTGATRGTGCTGGAGGAACTGAGCTGCACATTACCAGACCTGCTCAGGGATACTTTAAAGATGTTTTCCCCTCGGGCTGTTTSAGCAGTTTCAGACTTTGTTTAAGGATCAGGACTGTGTCACTTACASTCTTTGGAAACACAAGCTTCCATTTTAGGCACCACAACAGATTTAAGTCTCAGTCCTTTCAAGGTAGATTGATAGGCAGTGTGAAGTTTTTGTTTTGGTCTTTGTGCAGACACTTTTGAACAGATCAGACAGATATGTGAGCATTCTCAGATACTAAAAGATCTCATAGGAGCTTTTCCCCAGGACTAGGCTTCTGTGCTTTCCTACTCTCTGTCGACTGAACTGTGCTTGGATTTAGTTGTGGCCATTCTCTTTTATTCCAGCTGCWGGTTTATTTCAACTACACTTTACAATACATGAATATCTAAACACAATTCCATGCTTCAATCAACCAATGTCACCTTGGAACTTGCCACTCCTGAACAAATCTCTGAGATAGTTATTCTGCCTAGTGACGACCTATACTGTCACTATCAAGCTATAGTCAGTGATGGATCAGAACCCCGAAGAACTTGCAGGGAGAGTACAAATTTGCTTAAAGTTTGTTATCTTGCATAGCAATACCTTTTTTTCTTGTAGAATTATTGAGGTTTTCTTAATCAGAAAGAAAGAAATGAAGAAGTGGATGTGCTGCAATTTAAAGGAACCGATCATATCCCAACTGGTTACTTTGCTTTGCAGTTAGAGAAAGCTCAGGAAAATGTACAGAACTTACCATGTAGCACTCTAAAATAYTCAGAAGCACCTGTGCTCAGAATACATTGGTCCTGTCCCTGTTTKCCTTCAGAGAGTTATGATACATTAAACAATCAGTGGCACCACTGATCTTGTGCTAGAGACTTGCTTTGTCATTGGGGGTTCTCATTTGGGACAGAGACAAAAGCACATATGGAATTTCCTTTGGAAGCTGAATCTTCTAAACTATTCATTACATGTTCCWTTAAAACATGAACTTGTGGTTCATTTGCAGACACACAAAGCTGAGTGGTATTGGAAATTCTGCATTCAGAAAATKCTATGTGGACCTGGCAGTAGTTACCTTTCAGTATTCTTTGAACTCTTCTGGGAAGTGGTAGGTGTTTCCCATAGTCGGAGAAATGACTCATCTCAGCTGTGCTAAGCAGAGGGTTATAATTTAGATGTATATCATTCCATGTGCTAGGATCTCTTCCAAGACAGCAGATTGTGATACAGAGTTACTCCATCTGTGTTTCAGGGATGACTGAGTAGATTGGTTCACAGGGTAACCAGGATGACTGTGTCTCCTCTAAATCACAGCATGTCCAAGCCAGGTCGTACTGAGCAGAGCCCATATCTTCTCCACRGGATACAGCCTCTGTCACAAAGCCATAGCTTCAGCTGAGGCTTGAGATTACATCCATTTAGAAGGAGCAGGAGGGTTACATCAAGTGGAATAAAATTCAACTTCCCCATTAAAGATTCCTCTGAAACTACAGCTACAAGCCAACACCATTTTTTTTCTCCACAGTACAGTCTCACTATGCTCAACTGAATCTTTTGCTTTGTCACCAGCCTAATATTTGGAGGCATCACCATTGGGACAGGAATCTTGGGTGTTATTGCTGGAGCAGAAGCCGCAAGACGATTAAGGAAGATAAACAACAAAGCTGATCCTCTGATCTGTGCCACAAGCATGTTCATTTCTGCCTTGTGCCTCTACATAGCTCTGATGGTGGCCCAGACAAACATCCTTTCCACTTTTGTAAGTGAAAATTAGCAAAATGTCTTATGGCATCCTAGGGAGAATAGAAAAAGGGAGGAGGAGAGGGGTGGCTTTTGCAGAATTCTCTGCAGTCTTGTAAACCATTAAAAGGTTTCAGTGACTTCTGACAAGGTATCCAGGTAAGCTCTGGGCTCTGATGTTCCCATAGCTGAGGTCTGTCCTGTGAGAGCCATGCTGGGCAGTCCTAGRTCCGGGATGAAGGGTGAACAGAGCACAAAAACTGGACCTCAGGACCTGTAGAGTGTCCACACTGAAGAAGAGAATAGTAACTGTGCATTTGGCTGCATGAAACTTGTCCCTTATGCAAAAATGTAGTTAAAGCAAGTCTCAATCTTATGTTAATTTTTAATGTTTTGTGGCTGATTTAGTATTCTTATTTATTTTTGCTGTCTGAATACTTAAAAGATTGGTGTAGTTGGGACTGCACAATACACACAGTTCTTGCTAAGAATAATTTAGCCCTCACCTTCAAAGCCCCAGATCACTAGCTGATCTTCAAAGTCAAGCTTTTGGCAATGCAAACTGAAATATAAGTCACTTAAATTCTGTTCTCAGTAAAGGGAAAAAACAGAAACTTACTAGGAATGTTGAAAAATCCCTGTAAGAGGGAATTGAATATAAACCTTATTTCAACTATAATCTGGTAACAGCTAGGGAAAGACTTCTGTGCTTTTTTCCTGTGACTCCACAGCCAAAATSACCATGATTAACATAAATAAGAGGATCCAAGTAAAGTTAATTACAGTAATCAACAGTTCTCTGCAAAAGGGCACTTTTGCAGTTTTTTTGCTTCTAAGAATAACACTTGTTCAAAGAGGTTTTCCTTCTGACTCCTCAGGAATATGTATTCCTGTGGAAAAACACCTTTATAGCAAGAGACAACACAGGTGGATTTGCCTGTCTGAGTGTGTGCACACACAAAGCAAACTGTGAAATTGAAGATTATTTTTGGATCCAAGAGTGTGGATCTGAGTGCCCAGAAGAATTAGCCATTTTCTTTTTCTGCTTCTCAGATTCCCACATCGGTTCACTCAGAGTGTGTTTATCCAGGGATTTTTTGTCATTAAAGGTAGAAAACAACAGTTTAATTTGCCAGACTGTGCTAGATAAGTGAATCAATACATTGGGTTGTAACTATCAAAATATACCTTTTATTAGAATCATAGAATCACAGAATCATTGCATCAGAGGTTTGGGCTGGAAGCCCATCCAGTTCCACCCCCCTGCCATGGGTAGGGACACTTTCCACTAGACCAGGTTGGTCTTGTCCAATTTGGCCTTGGACACTTCCAGGGRTGGGGCAGCCAGGGCTTCTCTGGGCAACCTGTGCCAGGGCCTTACCACCCTCAGAGGGAAGAAGATCTTCCTAATATCTAACCTAAAATATTGTGAAGAAAAAGATATATAGATAATGGTCTATACTAAGTATAGTGCTTCAAGGAACTTTTTCTCCAAACTGGTTTGGAGAAGAAAATAAATGAACAAAACAGACAAGAACCACAGAGGAAGTATGAATATCCTAGGAATGTTATCTGTATCTATTAACTATAGGATATCTATAGATATTCAAGGCATACTAGGTCTAGTTCTTCTTAGAAGAATGTAAGCCACCCCTCAGAAAACATCTCTCCGTTTGTCATAGTGCCTTTCCTAGACTCTGTTTTCATCAAGCAGGGACAACATCTTGACCAAGACCTTACCAAACACTGTGCTGGCACCTGTTGTAACAAGGTGCCATCAGTCTGGTTAGTAGATGAGAATGATGTGTCAGGTGCCATGTGACTTTGTGGCTTGTGTTTCAGAAGAGATTCTGCTTTCTAGCACTCCTCCACCTCAATGCTGTAACTTTAATGCTTCCCTCAAGTCTCACTTAGTCTGGGTAGGCCACTCCAATCTGTGTCCAAGGCTGGCTGAAAGGGTTAATATTTTCTGAAGCACAGCTGTAAGAACTGTTGTGTGCCCTACCCCTTTTCCTGATGGCTGGGTGCCCATCTGTGATGGATTAGGGATTTCCCACAGGACACCAAGGTTTTGAGGCTGCCTGTTCCTTGTAAYCCATTCCATTTTGGAAGTTCCCTGTCTGAAGAAGCCCTTAAGAGTACTTGTACTGGCACAGAGGTGTTCARTTGGCTTCATTTGCATCCCTGTACACTTTTTAAACCTGTGCTGAATATTTCTCTGCCATGGACCTTGCTTTTCTGTTCTTGGGTTCACTAGTTCATAGCAGTTGATCTGGGAGGGTGGCATRTGCTTCCTCTTTTGGTTCTTCTGCTGAGGATATGTGACTCAAATACCTTCTTTGGTTTCTTTTCCCACCTCCAAGATGAAGTTAGTGTTTGTAAGCATAGATAGAGGTGTTTAATTCAGAAGTAATAGGTAGGTAGGACAACTCTTACATAGCTGTCAGTGAGCAGTGGAGCACAGTCAGTGAGCCTGCCTCATCTTCACAACATAGAAGGGCAATGCAGTGTATTGTATAGTATAGTATAGTATAGTATAGTATAGTATAGTATAGTATAGTATAGTATAGTATAGTATAGTATAATATAGTATAGTATAGTATAGTATAGTATAGTATAGTATAGTATAGTATAGTATAGTATAGTGTAGTAATAGTATAGTCACTGCTTTCTTCTGTTTTGCAGATTTTTATTGCATTTGGAGAACTGTTTTTGTCTGTAAACTGGGCTGTTGTCACAGACATACTGCTGGTAAGTGCTTGTGAAATTATTTCTTTATTTCAAGTGTTTTCTCAATGTGATATTGGCCCTAAGTCTGCATCTCAGTGACTTCCTGGGGAATGATGAATGAACTCCTACTAGGAATTCTCTTATTGGTATCAGTGCCACAATCTACTGCTGGGCAAGGGTGCCAGTGGCAATGAGGGTGTGGTGGTGCAATAGCCCAAGTTATTATAATCCCAGGAAGATGTCCTGATTTGGAACTCACGCATGTAGGACTCTCTAGGGCTGCCTGTACCCAGAGTAATTTGGGTTTGTGTACAGCTTTGTGTTGTCAGATGTCTACAAAAAAAATGCTCTGCACCAGAAACAGGTCATTCTTGGTCTCTAATCAGGCTTTATACTTGTGTTTGAGGCCTTTGACAGGGTGATCCAAATGAGGCAAAGCTGATAGTCCATGAACTATTAGCAAGTTCCCTTAGCCCAGAATACAGTGTAGATGAATTCCAGCACTTGCAAGTCGAATTCATTAGTGGTGCTACACTGCCAAAGCATCAGGCCAGCAGTGATGCATAAGGGGCTCTTGGGGGTTCCAGRACTGACACCACAAGCCTGAGGAATAGCACTGCATGATTAAATTTGATTCTGTGATCAGTCATTTCTTTAGAAAGGAGTGATGTGAAAAGCACACATCTTGTAGCACAGTTTGTCTAGGCTGTGATGAGCAGCTTCTTCTTTTTATCATGTCAAAGGTTTTTAGAGTTAGTAATTTTACTTCAGTTTTTACTCTAAAGAAAAATTTGGCAACATTCCATKTATGTTGTAGCTGCACAGTCACTAATAGATGTCTGTGTAAACCCTGGATCAGATGCTGTGATCACTGAACTACACAGACCATTACAGTCTTATCAAGTAGTTTATATGACTTTCTTTTCATTAATCCATAATATGAACAAGTTGAATGTGGTTTATCAGTGCAATAAGCAAAGAAATGCTCATATCTGATAATCAGATTGCAGAAAGCTGATTTAAATACCAAAGTTATTTGTATGATTGACAATTATTTTGTTGCTACCCATGGGCATAAGGCAAAATATTTAAATTGACACTACCCTTTTCTATGAGGAGTAGAGTACTGGGTCACACAGGGAACCCAGACTCTACTTTGGGATCTCTGTGCTGAAAAACTGTGGATGTGATTTTAACCCAAATATTTCAAGCAGGAAGCTCCCTGAGAGACAGGGACTGCTCAGACAAGCATGGTACTGGCACAAYGCTGCTGCAGTTAGCACTGAAAGTGGGGAAATTGTGTAAAGCTATCAGAATAAGTGAGAGAAGGCACAAAGTTAAGGTACAGCAGGACAAAGATCTTTGACTGTTTCTTCCCAAGCAAGAGTCAGGTGAACGTTTCCCATTTTATGTAATAAGTGTTTCATTCTAAGGGAGCTGAAATCTATTTGCAGATTGCTGCTGCAAACTCCGTGGTCATAATAAATCTTTCATTTAAGAAGCACAGTGAGTGCATTTATGTGTAGTGCAACATGCAGTGATGCACAATACAAGTTCACAAGAGGGACAGTAAAAAATCCTTGCAGCCTGTGGCTCCAGTGGAACACAGGTCACCATCCCTTGCTGCCACAGGAACTGGAAGTTACCCCTGAGGTCGCTGCCACTGTGGTCTGAGTTGCTCAGATATACAACTTGCTTGGTGTCTCTACCAGCTAACTAAACCCAAGTAGTGGACAATAAAGCAGAGATAAAAGTATCCCTATTACAGTGTTCTGTGTAAAAGGATGAGAAAGTATATTSCCAAATGCTGAGCACTGCCTAGTAACCAAAGGGGCCAGCTGTGAAGCACTACAGAGCTCTCCTTGCACTGCCTGACCTTGCCTTGACACAAGTCTGTTTATCTTTGTATTTCATAGTTGAAGAACCTTTCTTTGTATTCTGATTGGGATGAAGGAATGGAACGACTTACATTTCATGGGTCTTCAACAAAGTCCTGCTGACACTGACTGTGCATTATGTTCTCTTTCACGGTGCTGCTCTCTACATGTCAGTTTTCTGCACTCTGGAATKTTAATAAAATAGTAAATAATGTAGTCAGCATTAGTGAATTGGCTGCTTGCTTGAAATCTCAGCCAGCAGCCAAGAGAATTTCGATTCTTATTGGACTCTTACAGAATAGTCAAAAACACTTACTCTATGAGAAAAGAGCTGAAGCCTTGCAGCAGTGAACGGGTGCAGGAAAGCTATCACTGATCCAGACTGACATTTTTAATTAGCTTCTATTTCAGTTTATTTTGAAATAATTGGAGGGTTTTTTGCACCAGAACTGAGTATTAATACCATTGCCATTCTTTTTACATCAGTTGAGGCACCAGCTTTTTTAAGTTTCTTTTCTTTGAACTCCTACATCTGCGTTTTGACTCTGTCTCTATTAAAGAAGAAGGTGACATCAATGAGTTAGGTAGGGCTGATACGTAGTGAGGAGAGTGAGGCAGATAGTTGCTGTCAGCTCTTCAATTCCTTCCTGAACCCAAACTGCAAAGCCTGTGAGGAGTGGGGGTTTTGTTCAGTTCCATCACTTCAGTCTCAGCTTTCTTAGGGAATGCTGCATCACATTGCAGCCTGCAGAAAATCTGTAGGGAGCATCAGTGCCATATCCTGGATCCATGTAAATCCAGAAGAGAAGGAAGTTCTTGTCTCCCAGGTGACCAACATGTCTAATCTCCATTTATTTTAGAATATTRTGGGATTAGTTATCATCAATATTGTATCAATTGGCAAGAAATGAGGAGGTGAAAAGTTTGGCCTAGCACTGTGGTGCTGTGTACTCCTGGGAGCAGACATCCAATTTATTACCATTAATGTGCTTTGGGTTGGACCTCTTGAATTCTAAATGTTACTAATCATTTTAGCAGAAAAACAATGGAATTGAGCTGAATTTGTAGATGTCTGCTCATTCAGTGGCAATCTTATTTGGGAGTTGTGTTTCATCTTGTTGAAACCCCACGAGTTCAGTGCATTACTCCTGTTGTATTGACTGAAGGGTGCCATAGATAGCAGGAGTAATTTCTCTTTTTGCCTCATTTCCCATGTGGTCTGGTAAGATTTCTGATAATATAGCTGAATTTGCTAATGCATGTTCTTATTTTGCCATGAAAATTACTTTCCTTTCTTCYCACATGGCCCTACTAGCTAGACAGYGTAGCTAGGAATTCATTTATCCTGCGACCTGTGGAGCTGAAGATAAAGGAAGATGCTGACTGAATGATAAGGACTTCCTCCCTTTGTGGCTGGTGCATCAAGATGCACTGCATGTAGCCACCTTTGTGCCTCCTATTCAGAGTAAAACGAAGGTATCTTCTGTACAACTACAGTCCTCATGTGCAAGTGGAGAAGTGCTGTAGCTGCCTTGCTGGTTTACAGGGAGGCTGGACTTGGAGTGTTCCTCATGAAACAGGTTTACTATCTGTGAGATTATGGAACTCTGTCTTTTAGGTTTTTGGCAGCTAGCAGTGTAGGAGATGCTGGARCTGGAAGCCTCTGTGGGGTTTGGGAAAGCTTGTAACATGTCCCTGTCTTCAGAAGTGGCCTTGGAGGTGCAGGAGTGTTCACCAGCCTGTGTGTTCCATCTGCTTTTTTAGCTGACAGCTCTGTGTCAGTCTGCARGGGGGGTCTCTGAAACCTCCAGAGGCAGCACAAGGGGTTTGCAAACTGTACCTGTTTGGGGCATTTGCTTCTCTGGGCAGGCATCTGGGCAGGTTCTCCTCAGAGATGACAGTGTGCAGAATGTCACACTGATGATGGTGTGGGGTCCTGGGCACTCACTGTGGCCAGACAGGACCCCATGGCTACTTCAGAGTCCYTGGGGGAGGGGTCCTTTGTTTCTTYTTTTCCTAGTGAATCCCACAGTGCCTTGAGCTGTTGAGTGCGGTTTGTGCTGTGCAGAAGARCTAAGTAACAGCACAGACAGAGTTTGTATGAGCCCTGAAACTATAGGAAACATCCTGTCCTTCTCTKGTATTTTTCTTTGTTCCATCTGTCTCTTGTAGTTACAGATATGGGATATTAAATAAATGTAGTAGGAAGTGGTGCAGGGCACTGGGAGAGCCAAAGTATATTTAGGTTTCCTYATGCTTGCTATGCCCATGATATATTAAGTGCATAACAATATTTGATTTGCATTWCTCAAACACAGCCTGTCATTATCTRTAAAAGAAATCTGAGTCTAGGACAGATGAAATGACAGACATGAAATCCTCGGAGAGCCAAAAGCTGACAGTCTCCAATCTAGTGCAGTCTGTCCTAGCCACGTCTGCTTCCCAAGCTCAAAGTTTTCTACTGTAGTTTCTTTGTCTCTGTGCACATCCTGTTCCCAAAGTGTGCATGCTCATCATCCAGGTAGGTTCTGAGAGAAAAAAAAAATGTGGGTAGACTGCACACCCTCAGTCTTGGCCATAGTGTGTCATAGGCTCAGTGAGAAGGAACTGTTGGATTGTTCCTTCACCCCATGGGTGACAAAGGATTTCAGAGCATCCAAACGCACATAATTCCACTCTTTCACTGTCTGGGAGCTGGATGACATCACAGTGGTTTTCTGTAACTCTGGAGAGATCTCCAAAGCATCCCTGCTTTAGTATTTATTATTATTGAAGCACTAAATATTCCTAATGAAAAAGAAATGTTCCATCCATGCTTAGAAATATCTCCTTTGGAGGCACTAGGAATGAAGCAGGGTACAAGTTAGCTGCACATGCAGGATGGAAGGAGGTTGTCTCTTCTAATCCAGCTGCTCAGTGCTCTCTTACTGGGTGCAGAATTGCTGGTTTACAAGTGGTTTGTGTATCCAAGGTTGAGGCCATTCCTGGCTAAGAGGGGCACTGCCAGTGTTGTCTGGTTCTTTACTGAAACTGGTTGCAGTATGTGGTAAGCAGGACCAAAACTCTAAATTAAATGTGAGAGCAGGGTCTTTTCTTAGTTTTAAACCYAACCTATCATGTATATTAATGTTTCCTTGAAGGCAGTGATAGAGCCAGTAAAGGTCACACACCTTGAGTCTGTCCCTTGGTAAAACACCAATCACTCTGTTAATTTAGTGCGTGAGAAACCCTTAGTGATGCTTAGGTCAGTTTCAAGAAAACCTCCCAAATTGTGGAATAGAGTGCTGAGAAAATATTAAGCATTTTGTTTCTGATATGAGCAAGTGGTTGGAAAACAAAGCCATAAAGGTTTGAAATTGCTTCTGTCTCATTCTGACTGTGAATGCTTTTTGTATAAATGTGTTATTGAAAGAGACACAAATTATATAGAATCATGCTGTACTTCTTCAGGCACTTCAGTTGATCTTCAGTAGCACAGGCGTAGAGCTCTTATTACCCCCAAATTACTGTGTTTCATTTGACAAAATAGTTCTAATCTACGTGATGCTTTGCCATGTTCTGGGTGTGCACCACATCTTTTTCTCCAACTTGTTATTTAAACTGTATGCACTGAAAAACAAAATCAGTGTGAGGTGTTCTTACTGCAGTAGCTGKGTCTCAGGTATTTACCAGTTGCAGGCAGTGCCATCAAAGCATCACCAGCCACCTAGCCACCTTCTGGTCTAGCAGGCTGGGTCCTCACCCTCAGTCTTCAAGGGGTCTGCAAGGCCTCAGCTGACACTCTTTACAGCTCTTCCACGTTCCAGGTACCCCACTTTTTCTTAACAGTCTAGACCAGGCCTGCTGACATAGGTCATAAGAGATTTTTTCTGAAAGATTGTCAGTGCTGAATCCTTATTAGCAAATCATTATGACTGTAAGGGATACTGGCTGGAGGCTTCTGTTGGTTGCATGGCCAAATGGATCTGTACAAGCTGCTCTGAGTCTGTGTATGGAAGCAGAGAAGTCCTGGTTTAGCTACTTTATTGTTATTCCCTCTTATGCCTTTCTTTCTTTTGCTCAGAATAACTTCTCTGTCTCCAAAGTTGCAAACAGTRTTTGAATATGAAATACATAAAAGTTGCTGTATCAATGTCTGGGATATTGTAGAAGCAGCTGGTCACTCATGAAGTTCTCTGTGTTGATGTTCCCTCTCCTGTGGGCTGTGTTCTGTGCTCTGTTTCAGTACGTGGTGACACCAAGGCGACAGTCCACAGCCATTGCCCTGCAGATTTTGGTGAGCCATTTGCTGGGAGATGCAGGCAGCCCATACCTCATCGGGGTTGTAAGTGAATTCTCTCCTTACTGAGTTTTCCTTAGGGTAAAACTTGTAGATACTAAAAGACAGACATTCAAAGAATCATAGGCTCTACCTGGCCCAAAATCAGAAATTACTCAAATTACTGGCCCTGAGTTTAGGACACAGACATTTTTGTAAACGCTTTTACTTGCCTGAAACATCTGCCTCTGTGACGCTGGAGGTGTGTAGAACATAATCCTGTACCTAGAAGTTTGAGTAGTTCCATGCAGTGTGTAGAAATTTACTTTTATTTTAAATTTTCAGACACATATTTTTGAAGGCACACCTTTTTGCAAAGACAGTGTCCTGGGATTTAAGCACTGTCTGCTCAGTTTGTGAGGAGTTTCATGTGTTAAAACTCAAGACTTAGTTAAAACCATGACGTTTGAAATCTTGCAATTAGTCAATGGTATCTTGAAAATCAGGAAAAAAAAAGGTGCAGTGGTTGTCTTTAGATACTACTTGACCTTTACAACTCTGGTCTCAAGTCACCTTAAYCTTGGATTCCCATATTCCTTGAGACCTGATTTCTCTGCCCTTCCTACATTTAGTTAATCTAAGGTGCTTCTGGGCAAAGCAGCCTCATTCTGTTTTCTCTGTGCCATTCATTAGTTTTAGTTCCATTGGATTATATCTGTCAGTSTCATTTCCTTCCTTAATTCATTTTAAGACACAGTAGCTAACAAAGCACCCATTTTGATTTTTCTGCTTTACTCAACATGACGGAGAGAGTGAGTCCTTGTTGTTGCTTTAAAGTTTTGCTTGTATGAAAGTTTTTTTTTAAAGAAGTTCACCCCATGTTAGCAGTGTCAGGGTTGGACAGGGCCAGCAGTGCCTGTGTGAGCTGTCCCTGCACAGCTGCTGCTGGCCCAGCCACACAGGAAGTTTCCCCTTGTCCTTAACCGGGTGAAACCTAGAGTCTCAGATGTGTAATCTGTCTGGCAGAGAACACCTCTCTCGCTGAAGGATTCCTCCCGCTGACTTCCTTTTTTTGCCAAAGAGACCACTTTGCTCAATGATGTTAAGAAACTCCTGCTCTCACACAGATCTGCCTCTGTGTGTGTGGGAACACAACAACCAACATCCCTGTGGAAAATGGCAGCAAGGGGATGCAAAAATGGGAGGTACCCCATAAGGTGAAATATATCTTGTTCATTCTCYCTTTGACCAAACCATTGATTTAAACTTCCTACCTGAAAGATAAAACTGTTTGTTCATCTTGCCCTCTGTCCTTTGACCTCTTTGGGACACGGGCAGAACTTAGACTTCATGCTGCATCCTGTCCGCCACTGTGTGCAGGACCTGCAGAAGACACCTTAAAGAGCAGCTCATCAAAAMCAGTGAAGGATAAAAAAGCTTATCCAGAAAAGATTAACTCAGGTAACCCTGTAACTTCAACAGAGCAGAGGCAATCAACCCAGGAATAAAACTACTGTGTGTCCAAGTGGCTTTGTGTGTAATGAGCACCCACATTGTCCTCTGGAATGTTCTGTGAACCCATACATGAACACTACCCATGGCTGCTGTTGGTTAAACACCAAATCTTCTGCTTTCATGCCCTGATAGTGTTTCCTAACCTGCTTCAGCCAACCTTTTAGCTAAATATCTGGCTGAAGAATCAGGGAATTGTCTTTTTCAAAGCCTATTTTTCTTCCCTCTGCACTCCAGRCATTTTTTCTCTAAGCATTTTAAAATTAAATGCATTATGCTTGTATTATGGCCATTATGCTTGCTGTAGTCCCTAGGTCCCATTTAGAGTTGATCTTGCTCTTATCTTGCTAAACTGTCATAAATAATCATACAAAACCCAGCAAAGGTTGAAGAGACTCATATTTGTGCATTTCAAGTCACACAGTATATTCTAACCATCAAGAACAAGTGTGGTAATAAAAATTACTGCTTTCAAYATTTATCTTTTTGTTTATGTTAAGAAAAGATTTCAGGTTCCAGGGTTAAGTGTTGAATATTACTAAGTTTCTGGAAATCAGATCTACCTTCTGTCTACAAAAATAAAATTATTACGTATTATTTATAACCTTTACAACCTCATTCTCCAWCCAGCACAAAAAGCACCTGCCTGGTATGTTCTTCCTCCCATTTACTCAAAGCATCACTCCATAACTCCTCAAATGCCTTTTGGATCAAAAGCAGACTCCACTCTTGTCTCAAGTAGATTTCCATCTCTTCTCTGTCTACTGAGTGTTGCTGCTTGTGCCTGTACTGCTGCTTGACCCGCTGTTTCTATCCACTGGATGCCAATAAGGGAGGCAGAAAATTAATGAATGGCATCAAGAAATGCTAAAGATCACAGCCAARTGCCCATCCTGTGCTAGCAATCTGGAAATGGGCTAGAAAATGGTAAAATGTATTTCCTGCTCTTGTGACTGGAGGCTCTAAAGGTGTAAAACAACATGAGAGTACTTGACCAGTTGGAAGCTGGAGAGCACTGAATACAGGTGTGCTGGATACTGGGTTTGATAACTTTAGGAGCAGACTCTCATCCCTATCTGCCTCTTTTATTCTTTTCATGGCCCACACTGTAAACAGACTGTTTAAAGCAGGAGAGGATGTAGGTATTATCCCTGATTAATGCAGCCTTGTTCCCTCCCCAGATCTCCAATGCTATCCAGGCCAAGAACACCCCATCATTGCAGTGGAGTTTCTGGAGCATGCAGTACAGCTTCATCATCTGTACTTTTGTTGGGGTCTTTGGAGGAGGCTTTTTCCTCCTGACATCTTTCTGTATCGAGGAAGATCGGAAAGAAGCGCAAAGGCTCTGAGGTGTCTGTGTGTCTTTATAACTTTAAACCTGGGTATGGTGACCTGTTTGGACACCAGCCCTGGTATTGTCTCTGAAACATTAGACCATGTTAATGTCTGCCTTATGGTAATGCCATGTCAGTCTATAAAAATGATAAGGGCAAAATCCCAGCAGTCTCAGATTAAACAAACTTCCCACATTGAGTAAAACAGACCACGGAGCTCAAAAGCAAAATTGCTGTTAGTGCAAAATGCTGGAACACATGGAAATAACATCCTTTACTGTCATGCACCCCTGCAAACTWCATGGAAGATGAGGTTCTTTTTCTACTCTGGTCTTTCTCAGCCCTTTAGAACCAGTCCTGGCTCTCTGTAGCACTTCTCCCTCCTACCTGAAAGAAATCATATTCAAAATGTAAAAGACTTAGAAAAAAACTGTTGAATTGGACAGAGCCCTGTCCTCAAGCACCTGGATTCTTACAGCCTCTTTGTGCCCTGACTTGGTTTTCTAGATACTAGCAATGAACTTTTCCTCAGAGGAAGATGAACTCTGGGGCGAGATTTGCACAGAAGAACATCCTGCCTTTTTTTCTTTCCTTTTTGCTTAATGAGATATAGCTGGGGAAARGGCCAAATCACGATTCCTCCATATGGCAGAAAATCCTGCATACTGACTTTTTGGGATACTTTTGACTGCAAGTCAAAAATTGCTCGTGCATTGGCATATGGCAACCCTCCTCCCCCAATCTGCAACCAGGCCCTTGTCCTCTCTGGGGCTTGGGAGCTCCAGGGGGYGTTTTATAGAGCTGTCACCAGCATGACTGCTGATCTCAATGAGGCAGGAGCTTTCAAGGCATGTCTTCTGGAGATTAGGGAGACCTATGAGTTCTCAGCAGGATGAGATTTGCCTGTAAATTTGGAAAATGTCAATAGTACAAAGCATGTTTTCAGTGGTTTGAAACGACCAAGAGAAGCAGAAACTATCAAAGTCATGTCAGATTCAAGACAGGAGGGTTGTTATAATTTTATATCTAACATGTTAATGGCCTCTTCCTAATCCTTTGAAGCTCTTCAGTGTATTCTCAGGCCTTGAGTAAGTATCTCCTCTCATCAGTGAGCAGTAGTACCTGTAAAAGCACTTTAAAATAACTGTCCATTTGAACTCCTGTCTCCAAAGTGAAGGGGATTTGGGATGTGGTATCTGTTGTCACAGTATCATGCCAGGTATCAAACAGGACATGACCAGTGTGGCCAACTTCCATTGTTTGTCATGGTGTAGTTCCCAGGAGCATCTTAAAGCCAAAGCCTGAGGAAAATATTGGCAAGTGAATTGTAAAATGTTATGAAATCTTGCCTCAATCTCCCAGCAAATCAAAAGGATCATAAAGCACAATATTTCTGTAATGACTGTGAATGTCTAATGTCACTGTAAAGAGCATAATTCAGCTACTGCAGGTTTTTGTTTTTCCCTCTGTCTACCTCATTTTTAAAAATCTGTTCTGAAATCTGACTTAAATCTAGATAGTGAAATGTGACCATTATGGGAAATAATAAAGAAACTTTGTGATATTCAGTAAGAGTGTAAGAATTTTCTTTAAAATAAAAGTTGGTATTCTGAAAGACTGAGCAACTTTTCTGGTTGTAAAAACAGACTGTACCACTGACCTTTTGGAAATTCCTGTGGTGCTGGAGAGCCCACATCTGAGAATGGATTGTTGCTGTTGGATATGAATGCATCACCTTCTAGAGGTCCTAAGTGCTTCAGCCATGGCAGGATTTCAGGAGCTCCATGTGCTTCTCTATCAGTGCATTGAGGGCTTGCCCTGCACATGGTTGAGCAATTTATCACTTTTGTTATGTCAGCATTAAATTCTTAAAAAAAAAAAAATACGTTAGAAGCTGTATCTGGCACACTGTGCAGGCACGTATTTGACATATGAATAAGAGATGCCAAATGCTGTTCTGTAAKTGGTACATGCAGTCCATGACAAACTCCTTCCCACTCCTACTCCAATCTCCTCKGTGAAAGTCAGTGCCTAGAAATGAACAGATCACACTGACTAATCATTCCATCTCTTCAAATGCCTCCCTCTTTTCGTGGCAATTTATGGGCAAAAACTATGTATTTTTGTAGTTTTTTGCTGCATTTAGCAGGACTAACACTGCCACCAAGCAACTGGATACTCTGAGCTGTCTCACTGAGAGCTGCTGCCAGAGGCCATGGAGAGRTKCAGCACCAGCATGGAACAGCCTGGGAAGCCTCTGCCTCCACGGCAGGGAAGCTATTTCCATCAGCTGCTTGGTCTTGTCTCTTAAAGATGGAACTTCCTCACTAGGATTTGTAAAAGGAGTCGAATTTCTTAACACTTTCTGCATGTCTTGATTTTGCGTCTTAGTGGGCATCCCCAAATTCTGCATGGAGGGGTCAACTTAGTGTGCTAGTTTGAGAAACAAATCAGCGGGGTAATTATCCCCACAGAAATAAGTTGCAGGAGAATCTAAGTCAGAACTAGAATTTATTAGGAAAAATTAAAATAAAGGCAATAGTACAGAAACAACAACTTAAACTGACAGTCAGAGTACAACCTGACACCCTGTTGGGCAGGGTGGTGGCTGCAGCCCCGTTGCAGTGATGGATGTGCTCTGATCAATGCAGTGATTCTGAGGACAGGTCGAGTCCATCTCTGCAGCTCCAGGGGTGGTTCTGGAGCTCCTCTCCTCTGGGAATGCAGTGG